CCCAACACTCAGGAGGATTGCTGCAAGTTATAAAGCCAGCCTCTGGGCTACGAGAGATCTCATCTCAAAAAAAAAAAAAAACAAACAAACAAACAAAAAAAACAAATAACAAACACCTCCAAAAAGCCCCCAGCCCTCAAAAGAAAAACAAAAAACTCCAGGGGCTGGAGAGATGGCTCAGAGGTTAAGAGCATTGCCTGCTCTTCCAAAGGTCCTGAGTTCAATTCCCAGCAACCACATGGTGGCTCACAGTCATCTGTAATGGGGTCTGGTGCCCTCTTCTGGCCTGCAGGCATACACACAGACAGAATATTGTATACATAATAAATAAACAAATATAAAAAAAAGGATGGAAGAACAATTGATAACTTCCAGACTCCACATGCATACACACATATGTGTACAGACATCCACACCCATGGATGCTCACACACATGCAAGCATGCATATAACATATGTACAAAACACACATGTACAAATGAAATCAATAACCAAGTATTCATTTCTGTTGCTATCATCACTCCCTGCCCACCCCAACTGCTCGGAAGATGATCACCCTTTGCTGCCTTCCTTTCTGATAGATTGACACATGTCATTCTGAGGAAGCCCCTCCTCACCTGTGACCAGTATTAGAATTTCATTACTGTACCGCAATGATCTATTGGGGTTCTGGGAGTCATAGCACCTGCAGGTGTAGTATCCAGAATCACTCTCCTCTACCTCAAAGAAACTGAAATTAAATGAACCTGGTCTTGGCGACATTTCAAAAAATCGAGATCTCCTTTTTCTCGTTCCAAGTTGTGTCCTAGGATCCAACTTAGTATCTTGCCTTTGGTAATTACAAAACAATTTCCGTGGGACACTTAAACAGTTCAGGGTCACATTGCCGTTTGTAGGAACCACAGAGCTGGGCTGGGCGCTCAAGGAGACCTTAGGTAAGATCGCTGAAAGAAAATAAAACTCAGAGTTGCATATGACATATCATCCTGCTCCCTGGGAACCATTTAGAACAAGGGATGAAGCCATTTAAATATTGGGGGTGAAGGAAGAGACACTCACCTATCCACCTTATGTCTGTAGACCCAGCACATAGCCCTGCAAGACAATGACTTATAAGACACAGTGCCTGCCTGGAGCTGCCTCATTGCCATCTCTGATCCCAAGAATCTACTACTGAGTTCAGGCTCTGGCTTCATGTATTGAGGCATTTTTGTGTTTCTCACATGTTTCTTGCTCATCAACAGCCCATATCCTCCCTGTACAAGTCTGTAACCCTGAACTGGGGAGCAGAGACAGGCAGATCCAGGGAACTTGCTAGCCAACTAGTCAGCCTTCCAAAACAGGAAATTTCTGCTTCAAAGAGAAATCTCAAAAAATAGAGGGGAGAACCAAGAAAGATTTTTAATGTCCTCCCTCCTTGACTTGCCACATGTATGCACACAGGCACTTGAATGCACACCACACATGCACACGTGCACGTACGCACACACATCACATATACAACAAATGCAAAAGAATAAATGTAAACGTCATGTTGAAGTGGCAGAAAGCCATTCAGAAGCTCATAACCTACTGATTTGGAGGAAACAGGAACATGTGTATAAAGTACTGAACGCATTCCCCATACATGATGTGTGTTCACAAAATGAAATTTATTCACTTCTCCTACAGCCTCGCTGGCCTCCCCACTGGCCTCATCAACTCCAGCTACCTCTACAACCCACCCACCCACCACAAACAGCCCTGCTCTCCCTCAGACTTACCAAGACAGAACAAGAGCAAGAATTGGGAGTTCATGATGCCTCTCAGTAACATGCTTTTTGCATAATGCCTCTGTAGCTTGCCATTGCTGTTGTCTGTGTTTAATTCTGGGAGCAGCAGTAATGGCCTTCCTTCAGTTTTTAATCTTCAAAGCTAGCCCACAGCTTCTGCTTTATGGTGATAATCTGGATGTGATCTCTCAACTATATCACACCACTTCCTACTGACGTGGCTCCCATAGACCCCTCACCACACAGAAAGAATTCGGACCACTTGCTTCTAAGCTTACTTTTGCATTCTGACCAGGTTTCTGAGACAATGCTAATCAATTCCAATTAGCATTGTTCCCTGCCCTTTTGTTCTTTGTTTGTTTTGTTTCAACAGGCTATTTTTATTTATTGTTTGATAAATTTATACATGCAAACAATGTATCTCAAAAATATCCATCCCCAACTCTCTCCTTCCTATTCTTCCAGACACTACCAATATACTCTTCTCCCCACTTCCTGTTCTCCACCCACATATCTGTAGCCCATTGTGCTTACTAGGTTAATGTCAACTTAACACAAGCTAGAGTCCTCTCTGTCTTCTCTTCTCTCCTCTTCTCTCTCTCTCTCTCTCTCTCTCTCTCTCTCTCTCTCTCTCTCTCTCTCTCTTTCTCTCCTCCCCCAGAGGCCAGTCTCTTCACTCCCTCTTTCCCTTCTTTCAATACACTCTTAAGCCCTGTCTGTAGGGTGTATTTGTCTCTCGCCTGCTATGAGGCCTTTGGGCTCCTTCCCACCAATGTCTCTTGCCCGCATAATCATTACATTGGTGCCATGAGACTGGACCAACTCTCCTGGCATTTCCTCCTACCACCAGTAGTTTGAGGATCGCCAGAACCCTGTAACATTCACTACTTTCTCACTCTTCCAACTAAAGAATCTCCGGAGCTTTCCACTCAATACCAGCACAATCAGCGGTAACGGTAGGGTCCCTCCTTCCCCCACCTCAGGCAATGTTTTCATAACTGGGGCTTGTTCTCTTGACTATGGTTTTTCACCTCCCAGCTTTGCTCAAAAGTTGCAACACTGAGCAGCCATAGTCTTGAGCTCAGAGCCTTTTGGACCCCTGTTCCCATGTGACTGCATAGGGATACAGTTTGTGTCCACTCAATTCCACAACCTCTGGACCTTTCCAGTGACAACCCAAGGCCAGCCTGTGCTACAGTCCATACTGACTTTCTGGGACGCTGGAGTTCAGCCTCTAGACCTTCTCTAACTCACCAAATAGAAACTGCACCCCCCTCCAAAAGTCAAACCACATGGCTGCTTATTGGCACCATTGGCAATTATTCTGCCAGTGATCCATAGTTGGAAGTGAGCACCTCTGCTCTTTTTGCCTGTTCTCTCTGCTTGTCTGTCTGCCTCTTGTGATCTAGCCATGCTAAAACTTTCTCTCCACAGCCCACCATGGCTGAACCTGTCTCTGAGCAGAATCTTCCCTCTGCCTGGGAATGGTCA